TATTTGTCTAAGTGCATTTAATGACCAAAATCGCAGTCGAAAATTAGACAACACATTCTGTGCTTCAGCATGTTCTAAGCGAATATGTTTTTGAATAACCATGAGGTGGACTACATAATTTTTAGAAGGTAGCAGGGCGGGATGTTTCTGCTTGTAAGAGATGTCAGCCTTTCCTAGTCTGCCACCAACTCTCAAAATATCGTTATCTAAAAATGGATTGAATGATAAAATTTGCTATTTGAAATCCGCTTTTCAGATTTAATATGAAAAATTTCCTTGGAGAAGTTTTGTTATTGAATAATAATTGCTATTATATACTGTATATGCACGTCTGCGTTTCCTAGTTTTATACAGCATTGCAAAACCCAAATCTATGCAGATGATACACAGGTTTATTTTGGACATCAGTCAAATCAGAAATAATAATCTAGAAATCATTAACAGGGTGTCCCTAGTACATTCACTCCATCTAAATCCAAAAAAATCTATAGGCATTTTGTTTGGTAGGCCCGTGGATGTTGATCGATTATCTCAACTAGTTGAAATAAAAATATCGAATGTGTGCATTCCTCTGAAAACGGAGGCAAAAAACCTTCGGCTTTTGCTCGACAGTAAGCTAAGATTTAATGGTCAAGTTACACAATGTATTAAAAAATCCATTTTAAATCAATCATTTAAAAAGGTCTTGTATGATTCGATAGTTTTATCTTCTTTTAACCACTGTGATGTCGTCTATGGCACATGTCTGACAGCAGCTGCCTCAGAACGGATTAAAAAAAAAACAGAAATACTGTCTAAGTTTCAGTTTTGGGATTAAACGCGGCAAGCCTGTTAGTCATAAAGTGAAGGAAGTCCGATGGCTTAATATGGAAAATCGACGATATCTCCATAAATGTAATCTTTATCACAAAATTATAAAATTGAAGTCTCCAAGCTATCTTTTCAAAAAAATCAGCTTTCGCACGGACGTTCACAATTTAAATTTAAGATTTAAAGGCCCGCTCGAAATTTTTGAAAGATCCTTTACATACGACATGGCTAAAACATATAATGCATAGGATCAGTCTCTTAAATTGCTATACAATACCTTTTCCACACACCTGCATGAAGTTTTATTATCATTAAATATTTAAGTATTGTCTACTGTAAACTATTTCCAAAGTGAAAGTCCCTCTATTTGCACAGATCGTACTAGGTAGTTATATATTTTTTTTATGTGTATTTTTCCTGTCTAGCTCCTTCTTCGTAGGATAAGTTTAAAAACGGAGACTCATAATATCTTATTTTGTTCTTCTGAAACGTGTCCTTTTCATTATATATTAATACGTGAATAAAATAATAATTATTATTTTTATTATTATTTTGTCTAATGCACGATTTAATTATTGTACAGAGAGGGGACCAACGAGTTTATTTTGGTTTAGAGAATGGTGAGCAAAACGTAAACAAAAATGCAAAAGTGCGATGTAATTTAGAAAATTTTGTAAAAATTTACTAAAGGTTTACTTTCGGCTATTAAAGTGACTTTTCTCTCTTCTGGCAAATCAGATATGTTGCAACCAATATCAAACGTTTTTAAATTTACCTAGCAATAAATTGAGATTTTTTTCTTTTGGTAATGGATTTTCATATTTGAGGTGTTTAATGAGAAACCCAGGTTGTTGTAACGCGTGCTTCCTGTTTGAATGGGTACGAATGTTCCCCGAGATTGCTATTGAAATCTCCCGATTTGCTCTCTTGCATAATACCACAGTTTTGCCGACGAACCTACAATTTATTTTGTTTGAGTTTAGTTAGTGCTTGGTTGTTTTTGAAAAAGTTATGGAAGTCTTTTCCGAACAACTGTTCATCCGTTTTTACTGTTTTGGTTAATATGGTAATATTTTGTGGATCCGTTGTGAACTTTAAACTTTGGTTATGGCAACCAAGAGAATGCTTAATTGTCTAAGAAAAGCAACGCTTACGTAGTTTGGAAAAAATGAAATTAGTTATGTTAGTTAATTCTGTGGTCTTCAAGTTTTGAATGTAGAACGATTAATCATTATGAATCTATTTTGTCTGTTTGGTTTTTGATTGTCATTGTCATTATATTGACCTATAAGGATATTGCCTTTAGGTGTACACAATTGTTTTGACTTTCTATGAAAGGGTAGATGTATCCCTTTCACCCAGTTCAGGACAATTTGGTAACTGGTTATGGCTTCCCATGCATCTCTAGATTTATTTAATCGGCCTTCTAGCTTTTGATTGGTGATCTCTCCTCCCCCCTTCTCGTATTTGCTTTGTTGAAATAGTCGATATAATCATTACCGCATGCGTGGTTATCATGATCCAGTAGAGCATTGTTGAAAACAACTGATTTCGCTTTTCTGTATGAGCACAACGCTGGCAATAACTAATAATTTGCGGATTCCTAAAAAGTAAGTGCTGTTTTGTATTAGGTACGTTACCTGATGTTTACTCTGAATTTTTTGAGCTTTTTTTGAAGTTCTTTGAACTCCCACTTTTTGTCACCATTGGTTATTTTGCGTTTTGGTACGTTTAAGGACGCCATCAGTAGATAAAATCATCCGCTGCAAAATACAACGATGCGTCTTCTGTCTAAAGCATATCTGGTGGCTCATCCTAAGACAAGTTCTGAAAACAATTAGAGCTGAAACTTTTAAATTAACAGCCCACCAAACCAGCAGAAATACGCTTTTCGAAAAGCGAGACGATAACAACGTATGTCTCGTATCATTTAACCTTCGCCTTCATGGGGGTCGTAAATTCGTTAACAACTACAAAATCATAATAGATTATAAAAGATTGTAAAATAATAAAGTAAATATAAAAATAATGGTAATTAATCTTGGTCAATAAACCATTTATCTTCAATTGGGTCACTGATATTTTAACTTATTTCCTCATACAATTGCTTAGGCTTAAATCCGACTTCCTCTTTATTTGTAATCGCATCACAGCGGAAAATAATTTCACGGCCACTTTAAATACGTTATTTATCTGTCAATACACTTACTTTTAAAACATTAACATTGTTTTGTAATAAATATAAAATAGTTCTACAAGCCACAATACGAGTTGAAAATCGTGGACGATATTCATCAACTACCGCTCGTGCGTTTCCATTATACAATCCATAAACAAAGTGAATGTCAGCGAATTCTTTACCTTTACTGTCACAATACATAAGATTCACAGCCACCTAATTCAATAAAGCGGTTTCGTTTTAAATGGTCTTCAAAATTTCAAATGCTTATAGCTCAGTTAGAATAGAGTTCTGGGAATATGTTCATTTAATATTTTTAACTTGAAATCACCCCAGCAACACACTTCCAAGCTACGGCAGTCGTGTCGTGGGACACCCATGCTCATTTAAACATAATTATGTTTTGTTGTTCTTAAGGAAGCAGAAAAAGCAGCCTCAACTAAAAAACATATTATAAAAATAGTGCTCTGTCGTTGCATTATTCTACTACGGTTTTAATTTTATTGTGTGTTATCATGTGACTATCATGACACACAACGATTAAATAATCAATTATTATCACGTGAGAGGTATTTAATAACACATTCTTTATTTCTTCGTCAGCCTCTTCCTTAAGGATGGAAATATAAAATTTCTACTCTAGGTACATTATCTTATATTTATCTTATTTATATTGTGACTCGTCGCAGTACGTGAGTTCTGATACAAATTTGGTAAACACCACTTAGTTACAATGTTCATTTAGCACCAGCAGCAGAGCTAGTGTGACTAAAGAACTTTATCAACGTGTTATATACTTTAGAAAAATAATAACGTAATTCGTTATCTAACTTACACTCGTACCATTAGCAGGAAAATATTCCGTAATCGAGCAATTAAATTATTTGGTGCAAAACAAGAAAATAACATAATAGTCGATAACATTTATTTCCATGACGAGCCCCCCTTTTTTAAATAAAGTCGTAAAGTCGCCAGCAAGTACAAAAAAATCGTAGTGGGTTGTAAAAGATTAGAAAATAATAAAGTAAATTTGAAAATAATTCTGATTAATCTGGTCAATAAACCACTATCTGCAATTGGATCACTGATATTATAACAATCATCTCAAAAATCTATTTCCCCGAATAATAATTTACTCCGATTGTGTCCTTTTCCATTTGAGCCACTCGCGTCGTCGACAATGGCAAAAAAAAATACTAATTATCGATTTACTTTCATTTTGCCGACGCAGGAAGAGTAATTTTAATCCGTTTTTTTCATTTAATAATACTTCATCCTTCAACAAAACTCTTGCATTATTTAGGATGGTAAAATAATGCCGGACTATTTCCGTTGACATTAAATAACAAATTAATTAATTTTGTGTTTTGGTATTAGCAAATAAAAAATTTCATCAATAAATTCTCAATCATCAATCAATTAAGTTGGAGTTAGTTCAGAAATGTCGTCCAATTATCATCAAATTTGGCAACTGTAAATTTTAATTAATTTTTAACCTCGTGTTTCCAAAAAATTTTACGCAATTGCACATCTAAGGCGTGTGTAATGGCGCTGCTATGTTCCTCAGTACCCCAGAAAGTTGGTTTTCTTTAAAATGGCGATACAAATATCAAAAATGAAATAGCAAAGAGAGTACTAAAAATAAGTAACTAATTTCTGCAAACCACACTTTATAAAATAGAAACAAAACTAAAATCAAAAATCGCTAAAGAGGATACTAGTCACGAACAGAGACAGAAACATTTTTTTTTAACTTTTGAATTAAAGTTTCGATTAATTCCAGAGTAATTTTATCACAAAAACTAACAAATCGCCGGTTAAAAAAAACTATATGAGACTTATTGCGTCGAACAATTTAAATAGCACATATTTTCCTCAAAAATCAACAAAATAAAATATGCAAGCAAAGGGGCAGTAAACGACTTATATATATATTGCTCCTGGATTAAGTCGACGCTGATAAGGCAAATCAATAAATTGAATGAATTATCGGACCAAATAAATTGGAGGTATTGTTAAAGTGAAAATTAGTTGTGCCCCATTTTAACACGCAATAAGTTTGGAACACGGGTGAGCATATCAATTAGCACTGTGAGTTTGTGGTAACTGAGTGAAGTGCAGCGCTGTTTTGGAAATTTGCGAATGAAGTTCGTGAATAACATTTAATAGGTTTCATAAATCGAAACAGCCAATGAATCTATCAAATTAAGTCCATGTTGCAGAAATCTACATATCCAACTAATCGTTTTGACTCAAATATTACGGTACACAAGTTCTTAATCGGTTTTTTCATTCCCTAAAATTATCTAAATCTAAATTATCCTAAAAAATATCTAATGTTATTTGTGCTCGGACCAACCAATTGAAATAAACACAAAAATTGCATTGGACGCAACATAGACAAAGCAAAAATGTGAGCAATCCTGCTGCTTTTATTTGTACATTACTTTGTTTCTGTGCACATTTCGCAAATAAAAATTTAATTCCTTTAATATGTTGTACTAAATTTCATACTTGATTTCCTTTTTATAATGAGGATTTTTAGTTAGTTTTTGGTTTCAATTTCTGATCCATAAAATCTACTTTCTGCAATACAGTTTTCATATGTGTAATTTTATTGTATTTTTAGGGCAATAGATTTTAGATCAGAATGATGAGACTTTTTGTAGCTTTGGCTCTCTCTCTCATTGGGTCTAATTTGGTTTCCGCTGCCACCAGTAAGTTAGAAAGTTAATATAGTTAATTTCAACTTATCTCAATTGCAAAGTTTCAATTATTACCTGAAATAAACTTACGAGCTGATAAACGGTCGTTGTATTCAAAATATAAAAATGGAGGTCGCTCAAATGCTGCTTTCAGAGCTGAAATTTGTCATGAAATGCCCCTATGAAACGAACGTTGCGTTCTTTAATTGATATGCATACAAAATGCATAAGAAAAAGTATTCAGGGTAATGTCCTTTTTTGGAATCTCACCATCGAGTTCTTACAAAGGGTAACAAACACTGGGTATCTTAAATTAAGGTTATCCTAAAAACTGAAGTTTTATTGTATATTTTGCGAATTTAAAATTAATAAAACTTCTTTTTTTGTTAGTTTGATGTTATATTAGCTTAGAGAAGGACGTTTCGGTATTTTCCAACAATCTTCATAATTTGCTAACTGGATGAGAAAACTAAGAAATACATCATAGAATAGAATAAGTACTGAAAAGCTACACCATAATTTAATATTCATCTCTTAAATAAATTTTCTTCGACTTAAGCCATTAATCCATGTTTTTGTGTATTTGGTAGTATTATTTACTTAAAATATTTTCCTGTTTTGTTACGAATCCGCGACCCTCAAGTAAAAAAACTTGCTTCTTGACAAACTGGTGTAGTTACGAACATATTTAATTCCGTTATTTATCGCAGCGCAATCGGCCGTTTACATTTATCGAGAATTTTCAAACTCCAAGTTTGCTTTTGTAAATTATATTTTTTAGAAAATATAATATGCTATCATGGAACCTGGTCTCATTATCGATGGGGAAATGGACAGTTCAGCTCAAAAAACATTGATCCCACGCTATGTACCCACGCAATTTATACGTTCGTAGGAATTGATGCCAATGGCAATGTAATTTTGCTTGATGAATGGTTGGATATCGATTTAGGTAAGTCTTTGAATTTTTTTGGGTTCGCCAATCACACTGCATAAAATTCCTATCCGACATTAATTGGCTTTCAAGGTATATTATTAAATATTGGCAATTAAATTTATTTTGTTGTTTTCCCCAACTGGTGCTATATGGGTCATTTTTCTAAGCCTCATTTTCGCTATAGCGTTACCTTCTCCTATTAATTTTATTATAAAATTCACAATTACCACTACGATCAAGAAATCAATATTTTCGATTGATAATCTGATCACATCATCAATATTTCCGATTTTTAGGTGGTTTTCAAAGTATAAATGCCCTCAAACAAGTTAACCCTAACTTCAAAACATTACTGGCCGTCGGGGGATGGAACGAAGGTTCCGCGAAATATTCCGCAATGGCTGCCGACCCAATTAAGAGGGCAAACTTTATCAATACCGCACTAAGTTGGGTTCTTAAATACGGTTTCGATGGATTTGATCTCGACTGGGAATACCCCGCAAGAAGAGACAGTTCCAACGCAGCGGACAAGGTATTATACCGACAGCTCAAATTATACATGCAAGCGTTTAGCGAAATAAGTTTTTTCATTTTTTTTAGGAAAACTTCGTTACGCTCATAAAAGAATTGCGGACCGTTTTCGACAAAAATGGACTTCTTCTCACTGCTGCTGTGTCGGCAACTCCGAGTTCGGTCGACATATCTTATGACGTACCTTCTCTTTCAAAGTAGGTATAGACATCGGATTCAACATCGATAGATTGATTTTTACGGATTTGATGTTATAAGCATATCCAAAATACTTAGCAGTTACTATGTCTGAGAAAGAAAAGGTTTAAATTTAGAATGCTACTTAATAAAGTGCTACTAAAATAATACTTACAATAAGGCTAAATGTATATGTGAGTGGATATTGTTCTCTTGAAAAAAGTTGTTTCTGTTCGAAGTTACGACGTCATCTTGAGCTGGAGTATTTTAAACAAATATTTCATCGGTCGTTTTCTAAAATTTACATTAATTACTAACTAATTAATTAATGGATTACTAGTATCCCTCAGTATATACACCATTTTATAATTTATAAATTAATATCCAAACTGACGATAACAAAAAAAGGATAATATTAAAATCGAAAGCAGTAAACTCCAGCAACGGCAATGTGCTTTAAAGTTCCGAGAATTGAAAATGTTTTATTTTGATTTTATATTCTGCATTAATTCGCTAACAATATTCTGTTTTTTTAGGAATTTGGACTTCATAAACGTCATGTTGTACGATTTCTTTGGTTCATGGGACACCACCACCGGTCATAATGCACCTCTCAACGGTTCTACTAGATACGTCGGTACAGAATATGCCGAATACAGCGTGGTTCGTATTTTTTGCATTCAAATGAAATGACGTCTACACAATTTTCTCGTTCCAGGTAACTGCTATAGAAGGGTGGCTCAGTAGGGGTGCAGATCCGCAAAAAATCGCCCTTGGGGTGCCATTTTATGGTCGCACTTTTACCTTGTCCAACTCTAACAACAACGCTCCTGGTGCTAGCATTTCGGGAGCTGGAATGGCAGGACTTTATACTGCCACCGCGGGCTTTTTAGGTTACAACGAGGTACGTGCCAAATTCACCGCATCCGATTGTGATTTAATGCGGTTTGCATCTTCCAGATTATCGAGAAATTTAATGCGGGTGGATGGACACAAAAGTGGGACAACGAACAGAACGTCCCGTACGCGTACAGCGGCAACCAATGGATTTCATACGATAATCCGAAGTCTCTTGCAATCAAAGTGAGTAAGATTTGTAAGATTGTAAACTTAATCGACGCATGATAGTTCCTAGCGATGTATGATGGTTGGGCGATGACAACCTTTATCTATTGCATTAAGTCAGGTGTTCAAATGAATCAAACATTTTAGTCTGCATTTTCTTCAAAAAATTTTTTGCTTAAGTGACAGATTTATCTTCATAATCAAGAAAACAAACTTGCGCGGAATATTAGTAACAATATGTCTCCATATTTCTTTTGTTTTGTAGGCCAGGTATGCTCAGTCACTAAATTTAGGGGCTGTGATGTTATGGTCAATTGAAACTGACGATTTCTTGGGACTATCCGGTACCAAATTTCCTTTGCTTAAGGCTATCAACGAAGTACTAGTAAGTATTGTTAATTGTTAATATTTCCGACAACAAACTTGTTTAACCTATCAGGTATTTATTAGGTAACATTTTATTATTTTGAATGAATTAAAATCTGTTGCATTGCACTTGTTCACTGCAATTGTTTAACTGAAAACTATAAAAAATACAAAATATTTTCGTGAAATTTTTCGGAGCCGAAGGCAAATTTGTCCATAATTGTAATGCTTTGTGAAATTGAATTGAAAATTATCCAACAAATGTAGGTACTACAATTTTGGAATACACTTACGATTTTCGACGAAGTTATTCAAATTTTTAATTTAACCTTAAACATAAACCTAACCATAAACTTAAATTCCTACGCAGGCTTCAGATCAGACTTGTAAGGAACTAGAGCTGGAACAGTATAAAAAAAATTAGATACCGTGGAGCTCTTTAATTGCCTAATATGCATTTGCCTTTTGAATCAATGGATCACGAAATTAGAGAGCTAGAAAAACTTTCGAATATTAAGAGTAAAAAAACAAAAATCGTTTGCTTTAAGTTCGATGAGTCATCATCATCAAGCTCTTCGGACGATTTGTCTAATTCCAACTCAGATTCCGAGTCTTCGTCTGGTACGAACTCTGACGACTCCAGTTCTTCAAGCGTAGGAGCATCAAACAACAACACTGATGATTCCAACTCTTCAAACACGGACAACACAAAAGACGAAACGCAAAGCTCTGATGCATCAGATTCCGAGGCTTCCGATTCTAGCTCGGCTAATTCTGGATCATCTTCAAGTTCAACCAACACTAGTAAGAAAATTGTTTCTGCAAATCAAGATTAATTAAAAATAATTTAGCATGAAAAAAATTAACTGTAAGTTTAACATCACATTAACAAAGCTAAGAAATCGAAAACCCTGTTCTTAGAAAACGTCATATGCTATCATGGAACCTGGTCTCATTATCGTCGAGGAAACGGACAGTTCAGTTCTAAAAACATTGATCCCACGCTCTGCACCCACGCAATTTATACGTTCGTAGGAATAGATGCTAATGGTAACGTCATTTTGCTTGATGAATGGTTGGACATCGGTTTAGGTGAGTTCTTGAAAAATATTTAAGGTTGATTTTGCTGAGTTCGCCAGTTACACTGCAGAAATGTTCCTATCGTACATTAAAAAGAATCTGGAACTCCATAGGGCTAATTTTATTTTTAAACTATTAACAATCAAACCTTTATATCAATAAATCAACAAATAATTTTTAACTGACCATTTCTGTAACCGATTTGTCAGTATAGCTCGAAAGTCATCGATATCTTCGACTTTTAGGCGGTTTTCAAAGTATAAATGCCCTCAAACAAGTCAATCCTAACTTCAAGACATTATTGGCCGTCGGGGGATGGAACGAAGGTTCTACAAAATATTCCGCAATGGCTGCCGACCCAACTAAGAGGGCAAACTTTATCAATACCGCACTAAGTTGGGTTCTTAAATACGGTTTTGATGGATTTGATCTCGACTGGGAATACCCGGCAAGACGAGACAGTTCCAACGCAGCGGACAAGGTATTATACCGAAAGCTCAAATTATACATGCAAGCGTTTAGCGAAGTGCAATAAGCAAATTAAGCAATAAGTTTCTTTCAATTTTTTTTAGGAAAACTTCGTTACGCTGATAAAAGAATTGCGAGCCGTTTTCGACAAAAATGGACTTCTTCTCACTGCTGCTGTGTCGGCAACTCCGAGTTCGGTAGACATATCTTACGACGTACCTTCCCTTTCAAAGTAGGTATACATTGTAAATAGTAGACTTCCATATTAAAAGATTTTTTTTATGAATTTTAAATACGTATTCGGATGTAATAACAATGAAAGACATTTGTTTATTTTTCAAATATCTAAATAAATGTTTCATATGACATACTTTGAAATGCGTTCGTACTTTCTCACCAATAATTTTTGTGAAAAACAATAATCAATTCGCTCTTAGTTACAATTAAATTGAGTAAATACATGCATCAAAGTTGGGCAAAATAATTACAAATAAATTAATCCAAAAACTGAATATATTATTTTGTGATATAAAAAGCGCAATCAGCAAAACTACGAATTCTTAAATATGTTTATGTTTTTTTTTATAATTTCGTGGTTATTGACTTTAAAATTTGTGAAGCATCTATGAAGATAAAATAAATGAATTCGTTAACAATATTATTTAACAAACATTAACAAAATTACTATCTATTCATTATTGACTATCGGTTCTAAATTTTCTATGAAAAGCCTCTCAGTGTATCTCAGTATAGACGCCATTTCATAATTTATAAATTCATATCACAACTGACGATAATACAATCCGACAATATTAAGATCGATTGCAGTAAACTCCAGCAACGGCAATGTGCTTTAAAGTTCCGAGAATTGTAAATGTTTTATTTTTATTTTATATTCTGCATTAATTCGCTAACAATATCCTGTTTTTTAGGAATTTGGACTTCATAAACGTCATGTTGTACGATTTCTTTGGTTCATGGGACACCACCACCGGTCATAATGCACCTCTCAACGGTTCTACTAGATACGTCGGTACAGAATATGCCGAATACAGCGTGGTTCGTATTTTTTGCATTCAAATGAAATGACGTCTACACAATTTTCTCGTTCCAGGTAACTGCTATAGAAGGGTGGCTCAGTAGGGGTGCAGATCCGCAAAAAATCGCCCTTGGGGTGCCATTTTATGGTCGCACTTTTACCTTGTCCAACTCTAACAACAACGCTCCTGGTGCTAGTATTTCGGGGGCTGGAACGGCAGGGCCTTACACCGCTACCGCGGGCTTTTTAGGTTACAACGAGGTACGTGCCAAATTCACCGCATCGGATTGTGATATAATGCTGTTTGCATCTTCCAGATTATCGAAAAATTTAATGCGGGTGGATGGACACAAAAGTGGGACAACGAACAGAACGTCCCGTACGCGTACAGCGGCAACCAATGGATTTCATATGATAATCCGAAGTCTCTTGCAATCAAAGTAAGTAAGATTTCTGTAACCTCAATCACCAACTAGTGTGTGCGACAGATCCTTGGGCTGAAAACGAGTTGTATAAAAATATTCGCCTTAAAATAATCGCTTTTGACCTATTCCATTAAAATTTTCAGCTGATTTTTAAACTACATATTTTAGAGTCAAAAATCATTATTGATATTCACTAATGAAGAAACAAAAAAAGTAATTTATTCAATCTCTCAGTAAATTGACCTAGAATTTTTAAAATATTACAAAACAATTAACGAAGGATTTGTTAGTCAGTCGAAATCATATTATTTCTCATAATTTAGTTTGACATTAATTGTATTCGGAAAGAAGATTCGATATTACATTGAGATTACTTTCCAGGCCAAATACGCTCAATCCTTGAATTTAGGAGCTGTAATGTTATGGTCCATTGAAACTGACGATTTTCTGGGACTCTCTGGTACTAAGTTTCCTCTCCTACGAGCTATAAATGACGCACTGGTAAGTTATGACTTTGTCAGATACTTTTCCGGTTTTAAATTAGTAATCACCACTTAGAACGTTAAATTTGGAAATTCTAGGGGTTGACTGCATCGGGCTCATCAGACGACCCATCTAACTCAAACTTGGGTGGTGATTCTTCGAATTCCGAGTCTTCTAATTCAGACAGTTCAAACTCAAAACCATCTAACTCGGAAAATTCGGGTTCATCTAATTCAGATAACGCAATCGGCTCCGGCTCATCCTCTTCAAGTTCCAACGAGTGTACCTCTGCAGGTGCAATCAGGGACTCGAACGATTGCGGGGTATATTACATATGCGTTCCAAGCGGTAATACTTTCGTGAAGGCCAGATTCACTTGCCCTGGCGAGTTGTACTACGACATTTCGATTTCCAATTGCAACTATCCCAGTCTGGTATCTGGTTGTTAACGATATTTTAGTTTTCCTATGATTCTTAATACAGTACGTGTAATTATATTGAAGCAACATTAAATGTAATAATTGAAATGAAACTGCTTTTATTTATTGTACCAACAACGGATAAATATTATTCTTAAATAAAATTAAGGAAATGTCTAAAAATTATAACAATGACTATGTTATAAGGACAGAGATGTTCTGTCTTCACCATAGAAGTTTTACCTACCATAGGTTCTTGAATGAATTTAGAATTTTTTTTTTATTTAAGTAAGTAAACCAAAGAAGTTGAAATAAATAAAATTAAAGTGGTGTAAGAACTTTTTGGAATTCTTAGTCTCTGTATCTGTTAAACTGGGATTGAAAATACAAATGAAGAAAAAATTACTCTCGAAATTTTAATTGTCACATGACCAGCCTCTCGTGATTGTTTTTATTAATTTGAATATAGTCAATTTCTGTTCAAAGAGTAGAAAATATCAAAAATATAGACAACGTAGCATTCGGTTTTCATATCGGTAATCCGGATTTGTTTGTTTTCTTTATCGATTGTAAATATTAGAAAAGGTAAATATTTTGTTGAATTTCATAAGAGTCTATCTCGTCGCTTAATTTTTTGGAATCATATTAATTAATTTACAGTACATCTTAGACTTACATGGTGAGATCGTTGGCAATTAATGCATCAATTAATTCAATTAAAAAAATTTCCACGTGGTAAATTTTCCTTCGAATATCTGGAATTCGGTGGCTAATATTTATGTTCAAATTGAATACAAACATCTTTTTAGACTCTCGATTATTTTTTCGGGGTTATCTAAATTCTCATATCTCATTCACATATCTAAAAGAGGTATATCCGTTGTGACATATACTTGGTTTCGTTTGATTATCGACCTATAATTTTTAAACGAAGCGTTTTTGATAAAGATTTAGGTTGCTCTCAGATTAATTAATTCGGAATATTATTTTTGATGCGTAAAATGTTTAATCTTGGACGAAACTGTATTACCTAGTAAATTTAAAGTTTCACCGTCAAAACTACAACTTTGATGTTTCCTTAGTTTTATTTATCAAGCAGTAAAAACCATTTTGGAAACTTGTCTACTAACGGAAACGTTTCTTTTTTATTTTGTTTTGGATGTGAATTTTACAGAATATAAGAGCCACGTTAATCGTAATAACCTTACATGGTAATTAAAATGATAAATACATTTTCGTCATAGCTCAATATTACTATTATCATCTACTGACAGATTTAAGATATAGCCAGAAAAATAAATAAAGACTTTCAAATGATACATCAACCATAAAAATTAATAAAGACTTTCAAATGACACATGAAAAGCACTGAATAAGAAAATATGTCGTTCTATACTCCCTCTTTTGTCTTGTGGATTCAGCTATATAGACTTCAGGAACCAATTCTTCATTTTCGAAAGAGGAATCATATGAATCAAATTTATTTAATGATTTTGTCCAAATTTCAACTCCGCACATCTGCAGTTGAATAAAGCCAGTTCAAGTAGGTTAGCATTTCTGAAACAATAGTATATTATGCAACAAGTGCGGTAAACGGCATTTGATTCACAAGTTTATGTGACACGAGCGGAACCCAGCGGAGCGAGTGTTTAATAAACGAGTGACTTAAAAATTTACCGAACGTGCTGCATACTATACTTTTTCTACTAACTTTAGTTTTTGGGTACATTTTCGCAAAACAACACGAATACATTCACTGACATAACCTCAGAATTGACAAACGTCAAAATTCAAAGCGAGGGAAATATCTCCGAAAACATCCGGTTTCTCCCAGACCAGTGCGGTAAAATCCCGGAAATGTCCAAAGTGGCTCGATACGTGGAAAACGAAACTGACATGATTTAGTGACGCTTCCCGCACGCTAGATCGGTGTGTAATGACGTATTTTACAGACGGGAGTAGAAAAAAACTTAAATTCAACTCTGTAAATCGAAACATCGACTTTGTCTTTCCTTTATTTTAGACTCTTTAAAAACACCTTAACCAATTAAAGCAATACCCAATAAATATAAAGGTTAATATATCATTGCAAACGATAAATTCCTGCACCGATTGCAGAATCTGTTTAACACGTTTCGAATAAGTTCGAATTTTAATACGTTTTCTCCGCCAACGAATCTTTAATCCAGCGTGACAATGTTAAACAGTGCGAACAGCTGATTTACTAATGAGCATTAGTATTCCGAATATATCCAGGATTCTCTCCGGGAAAAGAGCTATTGTCATGGTCATTCGTTAAATGTTCATACATTTTTTCAATAACTCCCTATTTTCAAGAATTGTTCTTAATATAAATCCAGCCTTTGGTCCATCTAAAAATATATATGATAGATAATTTAATCAGTATTTTCCTAAATAACCGGTATTCCAAACCAATTGTTTGTCAACCAAAGTTTTTCCGTTGCATGTTTGTCATAGATTGCAAAAGATAAGCAATGTTTATCAAAGTCCCATGTCCCTATATATCTTAAATAAATCCGAACGTGTTAGTATCGTTCGTTCTAAACACCACAATCGTCTATGATTCACGCAATGAAGTGTCACAATACAGTTTCACTATGCTTTCTGATCGCACTTTTGTCCTTAGTGTCATATTCAGAAGGTAAGTATATGAAAATTACAATCCACAGATTGCGCTAGCAAAATTGTAGAAATATAAGAGTCTTTATTTTTAATGATGGCGTTTGAGGTTAATGTAATTTCTTCAGATATTCGTTAATTTCACAATATAAACTTTTAGCAAGGTATTTAAATTAAAAAAAAATGTTGGAAGGGCCCAATAAAACCAAGAAACTAATTTTGTTATTAGTTGCCGTTTCGACGTTTGATTACGTCCTTTTCCGGAGATTGCAATGAAAATCATTAAATTTTAAACTACATTAAGAGACGAATAAATAAATAAAAGCTAAACAAAAATAAATAAAACGCATATATACAAAGAGTGGGGTTTCACTTAATACAGATATCATTAAATGATTTCAAATGAGAACAGAAAATAGAAAATTGAGAACTGCAGGCTTATCAATAAAAACAATAGCATTTAAAGGACGCTTAATACTTCAAGCATACTTCAAGAAATTAACAAATTATTTCTGTTTAGGTAAAAATATATTCTGTTATTTTGAAAGTTGGACTGTCTATAGACCTGGGAATGGAAAATACGACGTCGACAACATCGATCCCAATCTATGTACCCACATAGCATTTACCTTCATCGGACTAAATTACGACGGAACTATATCAATCTTGGATCCATGGGAATCAAACAACGACGGTCTGAGTAAGTGATTATTAATGGAAGTATCAACAAAATTATGAAATTCCCTATTTAACGACTAAGGAAAATAGAATAGAAATATTTTTTCTTTCAAAGTGAGTCACTGGAATCCGTTGGGAGATAACACATTTATCGCAATAGATTAAGCATTTCTTGAGAATTGCATACATTAGTTGCTAATGAAAAATCATTTCCCAATTCGTGAGTTATTAATGAGCAGCAATCTGAATAATATGCCTTAAGAAATCCCTGTTGTCGACCTCTTATCTTAATACTTTCTTTGACTCTCTGTTAATTTTGCAATCGTTTCGCAATATTACATTAAGTATTCTCTTTTTCTTAAAATTTATTTAAACCTGCCTGGAATGAGAATATCGAAAAAGGGAACTGGTAACAATTTTGGATAGGAAAGAGAAAATTGGTAAAAAGTAGGGAAAACTGTAAAATTCGGTTATAAATAGTTTCTCACTTAATTAAAGAATACCAGATACCGTCTGAACTACAACAAGGAATGAAAATTGTCAACATCAGCGATATTCCCAGGTGTTGACCTAGTGGTCCGCCCGACATGATAAAGAACTTGACAAAACTGGCCATATAATTCAAATTCTTCTCTAAAATATGGAAAATTTAAAGTGCATTAAATTCCCACACTGTATAAATTGCATCTAGCGTTCAGGTTATATGTCAATTGCTTAGAATTTTGAATTTTTCAGATGGATTCGGCAAATTCGTAGCATTAAAGGAGCAAAATTCGAATTTAAAAGCGTTGGTTAGCATTGGTGGATGGAACGAAGGATCGCAAAAATATTCGGAACTGACCGCGAACCCTTCCAAACGAGCGATATTTGTAAAATCCGCTTTACAATTCCTCGAGGAACACGAATTCGATGGACTTGATTTCGATTGGGAATATCCTGCCAGGAGAGACAGTAGCAATGCGAAAGACAAGGTTAGACGTTCATGTTGATTTAATAAACATTAAATAACCCAATTTTTGCCTTTTTGCGTATAAGATATGCCTTTATTTGAGGTGTATTAAGATTTGCACTTTGGTTATTGTAACGAATTTATCACAATTTGCAAGTTTTTAAGTACATTTGGAAATAGTGAATTCAGTTAACAGGTTTATTAGTCAGTCCCTGACCTCTTCCTCACTGCGACTTAAGGGCTCTATAGTAACCCTCCTCCATAATTACATGTTACTCGTTATCTATGATTTTGTTATATTTTGTTTCCGTTTCTTCATCAAACCATATCAGGCTTAGAAGCATCTTTAGACATCACGGACCTTGCTATACTTCCATTACTCTCAAGGTCAATTTCGTGCTTGGTAGTGGATCTAATCCACTGTTGCTGGGGATATTTTTACACACATTTCTTTATAATACTTATTGTTTTGCATTTCTTTCACTAAAAACCGTATAACTGGAGAACTAGCTGATAGTAAGAGACTCGTTTTAGGAAAATTTCATTCTACTGCTTCAAGAACTGAAAACCGCCTTCGAGCCCAAAGGTTACCTACTTTCCGCTGCCGTTACAGGGGCAGCTAGGTACATCGATATTTCGTACGATGTGCAGGAACTTAGCAAGTAAGTTGATGCGCCGTTGGTTGTTTTTATAAATCTTTGCACTTAGGTATACCACAATCATACGTACATACCCAAATTATTAGAAAAGAAAGAAATGTATTTACTATTCATAGCTTTCATAGTCTTCAGTTAAAAAAGCTTAACTTGTGCGCAGTACAGATATTACAAGGCAATTTTTGATTATTACTGATACCTTATCTCAGAATTTCTAAGGAATATCAATAAACATAAGAAAAAAATTATAATTTGAAAATATTATATTGCTATATATACAGGGTCTTTGCACTTTCGTGGACTAGTAACTTTCTTATTTTAATTAATTAATTTTAATTTTCAAATGAACAGCTAAGTACAGTTCATAAAATGTTACAGTTACATCCAAAGTATATAAATGAAACCCAGAGAATTGTAATATTAATTATTATTAAATATGGACACAAAACAAGAACTCAAGAAGATGTTTGTGTTTTGTTATACTCAAAGTATCCAAAAAAAAGGCACATGAGTAAAGCGGAGAAAATGTATAGAAAAAGGGTATTCTAAAAGAGCGTCTACGAGGTCATCCAAAAACTAATTAGCACACAAGATTATACATGTTATTAAAAGTTAGTGATAATCCCCATAGTGCATCAACGTACAACTTAAAAAAGTGATGGAGTCACGTTTTGTTTAAATGGTACGGTAAAAAAGCAAAAATTTTAGGTTTTCTATTACAAAAAATCCCCAACTTCCACAAAAAATATTTGGGCAGGGATTTTGAATAACAAAATTATTGGACCTTATTTCTTCGATCAAAATTTTACTGAAGCTCGAAATTTACAATTTCTTCAAAATGACTTAATTCCTACTCCCAAATCCAATTCAACCTGATATAGATAGATAGATAGATTTGGTTTCAACATTTTGCTCGACAAGTGCATTGCTATTTAAATACAATATCTCACGGACAGAAATCAACAGAAGATCTCCAGATATATACTCCACTGGATTTTTTCCTCTAGGGACATTTAAAATCAAAAGCATATAAAGAAAAACCACAAAATTAAGGTGATTTAAAATTGATTAGATTGAATTAGATACGAAAGGGTTTTTAAACCGACTAGCATATTTTCAAGAAATTAATGGTTAGCATTTTCAAAACCTAATAATTTTTTGACGTGACGTAGTTAATGTTTTTTATTCATTTGCTCATAAAAAGTAAGAGATAGATGTAGAGGATGGTACATGAATTATGAGTGAAATTTGACGAAGAAATCGAAAATGGATTAAAAAAATAGTGTTCTATTTAAAAAACAGAACCTGGTATCGACATCTGCGTTTTGACTTTCATTTTTCTAGAAATATAACACCAGATTTTTAAATGACTTTGTCGAATATTTTAGCCGTTTACTTTAAAATAACGTATAACTAAATCTCATTATATCTCACTTATCTTAAATTTTATGTCAAAAGTGATGTTTAAACCTGGGATTCTTTATAGATGGAGGTCTACTTTATTGTTATGATTGATATTTTAAAAATAAATAAATTTTCAATTTCAATACTTTTTACAAAACTTCTGGATTCCTCCTGCGTCGGTTTTTGCTGAGTCGAAATTGCGTGAAGTTTCAGTCAAGCTCTGAAGAAGCCAACAGGATGATTGGTGAAACGTCAGAAATTTGGACTTAGCGAAAACCGATGCAGGACGAATCCAGAAGTTTTGTAAAAAGTATTACAGTAGCCTGTGGAAGTTTTCTTGAAAAATTAACAAATTTCAATGAAAACATCAAAATTATTTAATTAATTGTTGATTTTGTATAGTGTTTCATAATTCAGGAAATTGAAGATTTCGAAACACTAGCAATAAAACGTTTTGCAGTCGTAAAAATTCTTTTTAATTTGTTTCATTTACTGAGTATTAGTGTATTTTTCATTATTTACTTTTTTTAGGACAGCAAACCAAAATAACGACAAATAGTGACGTTTCTGTAGTGCTCGATTCTATTTTTTTTCACCACGTTTCTTGTCACGATCAGTTTTACGATAAAAAAAAACAATTTATTGTTAATACAATACAACTTTGTAAAATAACCAAAAATTTAATTTAAAATTGGAGTATATTTATTTCAAACAAGGACTTTATACAATTTTTTATTTAAAATGTTTAATGTTAGTTTTTGATCACCCCGTAAATCTATAGATATATATAGATATCTCAACAGCAACACGGAAAAACTTAAGTATATGTATACATCTAGAACAGAATTTAATAAGAAAGTTGTTGCCTGTCCACGAAAATGCAAATACCCTATATATATCTAATATAATCATTATATATATATATATATATATATATATATATATATATATATATATATATATATATATATATATATATATATATATATATATATAGTTTTATTGATCTTTTTGACAGCATAATAATCGGGCAACCCTGTATAAGTTTAGTGGGATATTGCCACTAATATTGATGTTTTTTAGGGTCTTGGATTACATAAACGTAATGTCATACGATTTCCATGGATCTTTTGACTCGTATGTAGGTCACCACACTCCTCTTTATGCATCTCATCTTGACGCCGAACATGATAACCTAGATTGGAACATCGTAAGTTTTTTCAAACGTTGAAATAAGCAAATTTACAATTATATTCGCAGGCTGCCGGTATTGAAGGCTGGATAGAAAGGGGCATGGATATATCAAAGATTAACCTAGGAATTGCAACTTATGCCAGAACGTTCACTTTGGAAGATCCATCTAATACTTCCTTGTACGCAGCAATTAGAGATGGCGGCATAGCTGGACCATACACCCGGCAAGCTGGAATTTTAGGATATAACGAAGTGAGCAAAACATTAAAAATTCCCGGCCAACGTATTCGGATAAATTTTAATCACGATAGAGTAAAAATATTTTTATAATTTTTCCTATATTTAAAAATCACAATCGTCATTTAAAAATCATAATCACCAGTCAAATCAGCTGTCTCGAAAGTTAAAAACCAAGATGGTGAAATACGATTGTAAGTAAAAAGGATGTTTTTCAAAAATATAATTTAATTCTGCTTCCTACTGCTTAAGGTGTCCCATTAAAAACGCTCTTTTTAGAAGTTCAACGCTTATTTTAAAATACAAGGTATAAGTGTGGCTTTAAATAATGGCAATCTTTTACAGATAAGTATAAACAAAGTTATTAGAAACAAACTTTTAATAACCGTAGTGTCCTATTTGACACCATCAACAGCTGACTGATAGCAAAGTAATATTTTAAAATGAAATACTTTAAAATGTTAACATTCTGGGCCCTACCTTCAGAAGTTTTAGAGAAATTACATTTTTTTCCAAACTACCCAAAACATAAGTTAAATTCTAATAAGTAGGAAGCTAGAATTTTGTTAGGATATGTCAGGCATCTCAATACCTGTTCCCATTAAATTTCTTCATAATTCTAAAATAATCTCCTGGGTTTGGGCACCAGAAATAAATAATATTTTAACCTTCTAATGTTACGAAATTTTATCTGGGCAGATATGCGAGTTATACAGTGAATGGCCAAGGTACTGGGATGATGAACAGAAAGTTCCACACAAGGTGTCAGGCAACCAATGGATAGGTTATGAAGATGAATTTTCCATTTCTGAGAAAGTAACATACGCTTTGGATAAGAATCTTGGAGGATTCATGATATGGTCGTTTGACACCGACGACTTCTTGGGACTTTGTGGAAACGGCACTTACCCGTTAATTAAGAGTGTTCTTCGTACCGTGGAGAAAAATGGTTATTCTATAGGATAAGAAACATACCAATTACTTTCATTAATTTATTATTTATTTTTTGTATACGAAATGTTATGTTCAGGCAGTTTTCTCTTTTGTGTAAACTAAAAATAAAATAAAGTTTTTCCACAATACTTTTTTAACTTTCGAGCATTCAAAAGTCCTATTTCAGTTCAATTTATCCTGAAATTTATTTTCCTTTTATATAACTCTCTTATTTACATGAAAACTTTAATGAAACATACAACATTTACATCTTTGACCACAATCTTTGTACCAAATATTATCAAAAACTCCAAGTTGATTTTCATATTGACAATTCTTTCGCATTCGTAGATTATAATATGAAGAATATTAATAACTAATTAATTAATAATACTAACCAAATTTCCTCCCAAATTGTTAAATAATCATAACATAAAATCAAAATGGCTCTTTATATTTGACTCCATTTACTATTCACGAAGAACTTTCCTTCTTAATAAGGTAAACAGCTTTTGCAGCAGTTAAACTATCTTCCACTTCATTTTTACAGAATTTGAAAAATACTGATTAATAAGTTCAAAGCTATTATCGGGAATCCAAACTCCAAACCTCTTAAATTTAAGAAGATCATGAGTAAAATTCTTGTTACTCTTCAGTGTCACTAATATCGCTATCACAGAAAAGTTCCAGGTACAACGGCATTGAAAAAGCGAGTGCATCTATTTCAGATAACAGAAATGTAGTTCATTTCAGTTTCTTTATTGATTTTTTTTACGAATCTGCGACAATCAAAAATTGGTCAGACCATCTGGAATATAAGATTACGTCCCCGAGGAATTCTGTAATTATTTGTAAGTCGAAATTGGTCATCCAAGTTTTCTTAGCGCATCTTGGAATTAGCGAAACTCCATCTGGAATAACTTGATTAAATGAGTCAACTTTAAAGTCAAATATGCTTTCGACTCTCTTGTATACATCTTTTTCAATAATGTTATATTTAAAGAATCACTCTAACTCGAAGCCTAGGTGCTTCATACCTGAATACTGTCCCTATATATAACATTTATTAACACCTTCCCCAGCAGATAAAATACCCAATAGTATATTATGCAGCAAATTTGATAATCGTCTTGCATAAGGGACTTGAGCCTAAAATGACATTCTATTTCCATTCAAATTCTGTAGATCTATAGACTGCTCTGAATTATGATCGCGGATCAATTTTCGCTGGCAGTCAGAATATCTCCAGTATTCCACTGGCCTACTACTTCTACAAACTGTCTGTATAGAAATCCACTCTTCCAATGGACATTCTTGTTTTTTCAAAGACATAGATATCAAGGATCTATCACCAGCTCAGCTTACTTTATCATAAAAATATAGATTGTTACGTGCCAGGTGATTATTTTAGGTACTGTATTTGGGTTTGAGTTTTGTTTTCTTATTTCTTTATATGTTTGAGTTGATTATAACTAGGTTGTTTATTGATATACATTAGATATTTTTGTTATTTTTTATCTTGATCTGGTATTGGGTATTATATCTGTTAAACAACAAAGCTTATTATTATTGTTATCATTTATATTTCATTTTAAATCCAACTCCCCTAATATTTTTATATTAGTTTTTGGGAACAGTTTTGCAAAACAGCTCGAATACATTCGCTTACAGACGCGTGAAGTAACCATCAGAACTAACAAGCGTTAAAATACCATTGATGTAAATTGTACGAGGTGAATCAACGATAGACTAAAGTTCATTATCTCATTGGTTTAAATTTAAGTTATCAGAAAATAGTACATACAAAACTTCTATACATTGTAGGATGCACAATTTAAAATTATTTTCAAGTATACAGAGCGGCTCAAAAAAGCGTGATAAATAAAACAAACAGTTTTTAAATTGGAATTCCCTATTTTTAAAATTTGTTTTCAATTCGTTTGTAAATTCTTCAACTTTTTTATTAATAATAATACATAATACATAACTAAACCTAATAGTTTTCAAAATATTTTAAATGTTCTAAAAAAATACCAAATTGGCAAGATATAAAAACCAATATATTCCAATTAAAGCGAATTTTAAAAATTCACATTTCATCTATGTAGCAGACTCTGGCCAGCCATGATGACGTTTCTATTAAAAAAATTATTAAAAAAATGCATATAAACCGTTATAATCTAATCTTGAAGACAAATAAACAGTTTTAAATTGTTTTTAATTACATACAACTCGGTATTATGTTTGAAATGTTGTCTGTTTGAGAAGTTGTTGAAAAGTCTGTCTAACACGGCATTCCAAGTATTCTATTGATCCAACTCGAGTTTTATACACTATTTCTGTAATAGCGGTCCACCCAATCAGTGTAATACCTGTCGAACGCGATGGCCAATTCTATAAACCTAGACGTCTTATTCATCGGTTTTCAAACATGATTGTAAGTTCCTGATTTACTCGATTTATGCAATGAGCAGGAAGTCCATCAAGTTGGTATGGTCTGTTCATAGATATAAGAAAGTGACCAATTGCTTTTGAATGGGATTATCCAAGGGTGATCATTAACATACAATGCAACAAGGTTATTACCTAAAGTTTCGGAATTTAAACTCAGATAAAATTGTGGTCCGTAATAGAAAATAATTTTATTCCTACCTGTGTTTTTAATATTCTTTGGTTTGGCATACTACTTAGTTTAAGTTTATTAGTAATCCCGCCCAAATGTAAAAAATACTATTGTATTGACACTAAGGAAGTTATAAACAATGTTCATTTGACTCACATTGAACGTGGTACCAGCAAGCAAGCAACTTTAGAAGAAACAGCCACATTGACGAAAATTCCAACATCAACTGTGTGGAAATTTTTGAATAATCCCATTTCCGCGCGGAAAAAAAGAAGCGATGCTGACATTTTCTCGAGTGTAGGTGGAAGTGATCAAAATATAAAACGGCGTAAAATTTACCAGTTATACGAGGAACAAAGCGTGCCTACATTAGATATCTTAATTAGCAGGCTCTAAAAAGATGAAACCGGTGTTAAATGTGGCAGAACTATCTTATGGAAGCGTATTCAACACATGGGTCTTAGATTTTAAAAAATTCCAAATATCTGCGTTTACATAATTACGTACCACCTTGCTTTCCCAAATAAATGCAACTTTTAACTATGAAAAGCCGATGAAATTAGAAATCCGAATGCATAACTGACATATTTTTTTATAGGAAACGTCACCATGGCCTACCAGAACCTGCTACTCAGATGACATCCCCTTTAATTACAATATTTTGGTTTTGTGCTTATAACTCGAAAAGCAGTGAAAATAGATAGTAGAAATAGTTTGGTACTTTTGGATGGCAAATTAATAGCTCATTTACGTGCAAATATAAACTATGGGATGTTAATTTAAAATTCCCCCGTCACATGGATTTTTATATCTTGCCAATTGGGCCTTATCTTATGAACGTACGCGATAAAGCAATTTAATAGGGAACCACAAAAAAAAATCAAGTGTTAGCTGTACGGGTTACGAAAAAAATATTATTTTATATCGGGTTGTTTGTTGGCAAATTTCTTAAAAAATATTCAAGATAGGTGTGATTATGTTACATAAAAATGTTTCGCAGAATCCAAATGTAATAATATACAGGGTGTTCCATTTAAAAAAACGAAGGATGATATAAGTTACCAGTATATCTGGCAACACCGCATGGCCACATATTTTCCGTAGGTAGCTCATAACCCCGTATGTTATTACTTTTTCTGAATAATCTTACAAAAACATACAACTTATTTCAAGTATGTCATACCTATTTTTAATACTTTACGACTTATTAAAATTTTTCCAGACAAACAAAAAAACACAGACTGAGTAAATAAATTCATAAAATTTATTGTGCTATCAATAAATTAAAAAAAAACTAAGTCTATATTTTCCTAAAGCTGAATTAATTGATAAGATTTATATACTGGGTGGGACGGAAAAAATACTTTGAAGTAAGACTTTACAAGGTGAAGTACCCTAATGCACGTATACCATCTAGACAACCTCTTCAGTATTAAAGGGAACAGTTTGATGCTAGTAGTGTATTAAATATGAAAAACGGAAAGCGATAAACCGGAATACTCCCACTGAGAAAAAAGAATTGGAAATTTTACTTCAACTTTAAAACAATCCCCACATCAGTAGCCGTCAAGTAGCTAGCTTATACGATACATCAAAATCTACCGTGAGTCGCACTACTATAAAACATAAATCATCAAGACCGTAGTTTTGAACAAAGAATAAACTTCTGCGCAGTTATAAGTGAAGCAATACAGGCTGATACATTTATTTTAATAAAATAATGATTTCCGATTAGCCTACTTTTCGAGGTAATGGTACAGTACAGTTAAACCTTGCTGGGTACGGGAAGTGCAAATGTTAAAGATCGTGTTTATGTGAATCCCCCTACAACACCAGAAAATATGGAAAGTGCAGAAGAGTAACGTCGTTTATGCTAAGGAACGTCCAAGAAAATATAAGAAAGTATATGACATACTTAACAAAAGCTGTAGATTTTTGCAATATCTTTTTGAAAAAATGTTAAGATTTTTTAATTGAAAATGATCCAAATATATTCATTTATTTTGAACAGGTTGAAATTGAAACTCCGTTGCAAATATATTTGACGTCATCTAACTTCAGAAATAATGGTGCAATCGTTTTTTTTTTTGTGAAAACTTACATTGGATACTCAAAATGATTGCAAATAATCTGTTTTTTTTCTAACTCTCTTATTCATAATATCTCATATTTACTTATCTGTAGTTGCACTTAAAGATATTTACAATGTAAACCTACTCAGGGATAATCGCAGCCTTTGAATATTAAACGCGTTTTTTCATACAACGATTCTTTGAAATGAAATAATAAAATGCAAAGCATGTTTGTACGTCGAAAAAAAATATTTCGTGCTGTTAGACAGTTGTACGTATTTTGTTCCAACCTTCTGGCAGAACACGATTGCAAGCGAGATGCTCCCCTTGAAACTCAGAATTTGGAATATTGGAATATTGGAATATTTAAAGCTCTTATCAACTGAGGATTTGTTAGACTGAACCTTTGAATTTCCATTGATCTTGCGTTTGAAACCCGAATTGGATGTGGCTC